AAAACTTTTACGTACGTATAACTCATCCTATTTTCATTTTTGAAGTGTTTATCATTTTTGACTAATACACCAACATTAAATGAAATGTGCAGTATGTTTGTGCCAATAGCCATGTGGTAGATATACAAAATTACAATTCACCATAAAAAAAATGACAATTTGATTTGGCAGCACTATGAGTTGATGGAGGGAAATACAAGATAAAGTTCTAGTCAATTCTCTATAAACGTACCCTTTTAGGGGCTAGCTCAAGAGCAATTCTCGCTCTTGCTATAACTCCAAATTGTCCTAAGCCTCCAGGAATGCTGTCATAACAAATGATGCGCTGTTCAGAAAAAAAATATGTAAGAGTAGAAAAACATTAGAATAATTTACTAACTTCCATGAGATAAAACATGGAGTGTATTAAATAATTGTAAATTTTGTTTAGGGGAAACAGATATGAGTGATTTTAATTTTTACCCAATATGGAATTCCATAGAGCTTGAGCAAAATTTGAATCATACTGTAAAGTAGTAAAATAAATTTGAATCATAAATACTTCAATTGAATAATGTAGTAAAGTTAGTGCTAGGTAATTGAATCATATTAGTTATGGTATTTGAATCATACTGTAAAGTAGTAAAATAAATTCCGGCTGCAAGATGCTGTTACACAGAGCAGATGGAAGCTATTGCACAAAATTTGCCACAAATAACGATGGTAATTTTAGTAGTGGTGCTATTTCAATCTTTTCCACAATTATAAACATGAATGGAGCAGATGAAAATCATGGGACTGAAAAGGCCTACAAGTAAATTTCTCTAACATCTATATATTAGGAATATTGCACTGCATTTTGGAATCCACAGAAGATTGTTAGTCAGAGTGGTTATAGCAGTAGCAAGGGAATTTAGGAGGCCAGGGAGAGTGTTCCACTCAGGAATTAGAAACACAAAACACTGATTATATTACAGAAACAATCCAGTTTAGTAATCAGATTTGCAGCACAAGCGCTCAACACGCAAGGGTTTCCCCTTATAAGGAGTGATCTCCTTCAATCCGCAGGGAAAAAAAAACTACTCTAATAATCAACCCCCATCCGAACATAATGTACACACAAACATGACACAACTGTCCAACACAATTAATACAAATAACTGCCAAATAAATCACATTAATTAATGTCAGATAAACCACACGTAGCTGTTCAGCACATATATAAATAACTGATGGAGACTATTTCTTATAACTCATATCATATACTTGAGGCCTTCCATTGGTCTATCCAGTTTGAAACTTTAAGCCATGATTGAGGATTTAAAATGAATTATTAAATTTAAACAAAAGGATCAATGTATGAAAAGCTCAGCCAATGTTAAGTAACAAAATATCACTTCTTGTTACTTACTAATCCTCTGGAGGCTAACAAAAAAAAAGTATAGTTATTTGCCTACATGATTTTAGCATTCCTTTATATATTTCATCAAACTTCAAGTTCCAGCATACATCCAAGAAAAATATTTGTTAAATCCATACATAATGATTGATAAAAAAATCAATATACATTTTAGCGCCTGAAAGTGACAACTTGAGTTACTTGGTTCCAGACAAATTATTTCTTTGAGGGATGAAACTAAATACAGATGGACAATTGGGTAGGCTAAACATGTTAGTTGATAAATTATATCAATTCAGAAAAAAAAAATTGCTACATGGTTGCATGATTGCGTGATTATGAAAATTAAATACTTAAACCAAATTTTGCACACCACTATTACGTATGAATCAGCATTCAATTCACTGTCTAACAAAGTATATAAACTGATATTTGCCCACTAATCACCATAGTAAGAGTAGTGGTCTGCAAAGTATTGGTGTATAAGCACAATACACAACACATTTCTTAGGGCCAAGGAGATAAGAAAAATTTATTTCCTAGTAAGTTGTAAATCATTCTCAGCCAGCCAATACACAACCAATGGAGGGGTTCCCTCTTAAGCCCTCTATCATCATTTTGGACACACCCATGTAGCACTCCATCAGCCATTTGAGACAGCCACATACTTATAAAGACAGATACATGCCACTGATATTATTTCACTAACTCCTCTGAAACAGGAGATTTAACCATACCAACACTAACTCACAACTTATTAAATGAAACAACAGTTGATAGCTGAAAGCCTCAAACCAAGGACTTATTAGTAAAAATGAATTTGAATTCTAGTTTGCACTTTGCAAGTGCTCGGGATATCTCTTGTTTGCACTTTGGAACATTTTGCCCCACCAAATTAAGTAATGCAGAACGCTAGTGTACCTCACCATGGTAGTAAGTATTGCACGATTCGCGATTCGTATCGTACGATACGATACGATTCCAAGGCTCTGCGATTCGAATCGCATGTTGACTCGTTTTTTATTACGAATTGTATTCGGATCGTTTGTATCGTGTTCGGAATCGGAAAATCGCGATTCTAAGGAGAAATCGCACGATTCTGGACGTTGCGGGTCACCCTCGAAACCGGGTCGGGTCATGCATGACCCGGTTCTAAAAACCCTAAAAAAATGATTTTTTAAAAAAAAAACGAAAGTGAGACAGAAAGTGCCGCTTATACTCCCTGTACATGACCCACTTAGTGGGTTTCACTTTTTGTGGTCCATTTGCGTGGTTCAACTTCTCTGCTTCGTTTGTTTGGGTTGCTGTTCATCGTGGTCCAAGGTAAGGGCTTCCTTCTTGTTGTGTGGTCCATTCCTTCACTTGTTCTCTCTTTTTTTCTTTGTTATTCCCTCTACAACTTCCCTCTCTTGCTGCTGTCTAAGTTTCTATTTATTGGTACTTGGTAGGCCATTAAAAAATGGGTCATTCAAAAAGAGAGAACAACAATGGTATTTATTGGAGACTATTATTATTTGTATAATTGTATCTTTGTTTGTATTGAAGTTTATATGTTACTAATTACTATATATTTATGTATGACTTCATTTTTATATGTTTTGTATGCATATATATACACTATGTTTTTATTGATCATGAATCTTACGATTCACGATACGATTCGATTCACGATTCAAAAAATAAGCCTTCCGATACATTATTTGTATCTCGATTCAACTACCATGTACCTCACTTTCAAAGCAGTCCAAAAAATTTAAACTAAACATCATCCAAGCCATGAACATAACTAAACTGAATCCACGTTTTACAAATTCTAAACTAGCAACACACATCCAAACGCAAATATTTCATAAAACAACCAAAATCCAGCTAGCATAATAGTTTTACCTTCTCCTAAGACTGAAAAACAAGTTGCTCGACTTCAACCGGAACCACAGAACCATGCACGAGCACATGGAAAGACACGTAATTCCCCCAGCAGCAGCGACAACAACTTCAACCAAAGCCTTCATCTCTAGAGTGGTAGTAAAGTACTCCGAAGACATAATCTTATTCAACTTCTCCCCAATGCAACATCTAAAAATAGAAACCAGAAAAAGAAAACATAAATAACAAGTTAACAAACAACAACGAAACACAAGCAAAACTCAACAAGAGCATACAAGTGACATTAGCATCAGGCCCAATGGGCTGCTTGGATTTGGCGAGCCACGGCCTGGCGTGTTCCACGCAATGCTAGAGCGCGTTCTTGTGCGAGAAGTTGGAATCGAAAGGGCGTGAAACGAGAAGGGCACGGAAGGTGGAGATCGAATCGAGGTTCTTCTCACTGAGTAGATCAGTGGCATCATCGGTGACATAGTCGTAGGTCAAGCAGCAACCGCGCTCATGCGTTCGGGTGAGCATCGTGGAGGAGAAGTTGCTCTTGACGTCGAAGAGTGAGCCGAAGTAGAGCAGGTTCAAGAGGTCCTCGAGAACGGCGTCATTCAAGTGCGATGGCGGCTCATTAGAGCTAGAGTTCTCGGCTAGGGTTTCGGTGCCACGGCGAGTGTGTGCGGCGAAGGCTTCACCACAATGCTAGGTCTAACCAAAATTGAACAAGATGAACAGAATGTTCTTCTTGGAGAAAGGGCTCCAACGCGAGCCAACGTCTCAGTACTACATCGATTACTAGGTGAACCGATGTAAATGTATTTATAATTATTTATAAAATTGCCACCGTGCATTCAAAACGACATCGGTTCCACAAAAAATGATGTAAAACGCTCAATATTTACATCGGTCTCAGCCATAACCGATGTAAATATGCTTTACATTATACTCTTATTTACAAAAATGCCATCACATTTGATTTTTACATCGTTTCTACCTAAACAGATGTGAAATTGACGATGTTAAATAGTCACTTTCTAGTAGTGAATCTACAACATTATACATACAAAAAAAGCAAAACCTAACATGATATATTGGAATTATGAACTCAATTTTACATATATTTGAAGTATTTACAACAAGTATTTAAATACTAAAACTGATCAACTTTTTATTGAATAAAGCAAACAGTAGAATATGATAAGTTGGCAAAGCATTGATGTTATCAGCATACATATAGTATTTAAAGCAATCATTTTCCATTTCCTCACAAGTCTGATTAACTGCACAATCAAAATTATTTGATGCAACACTAGCATTATCACTTTCAAGTGCATTTTTTCGCATTCTTTAAAGTTAGGATAAGATTGATATAAAGATTAAGGAGAACGGAAGAGGTAAGAGGTGAAAGATGAGTGAATGCATTTTTGAGATTAAGGAGAAAGGAAAGGGTAAGAGATGAAAGAAGAATGAATGCATTTTATTTAATATTTAAAAGGAAATACTTGAGCCCTTATTCAAATAAATAAATCTTAAAGCCTTGGGCAGAGCAATAAGACTAACATTACAAGAAAATTACTTAAAATTTGAATTAAAAATCACAGGCAGCTTGACAATCTCCTAATTATTAAGTTCCATGTTCAGTGGACAAGCGTGAACCAGACTAGCATGTTTGTCCTCACGAGAGTCTTGCTCAACAACAGCCATTGAGTTTGGAAACTCAAACCCTGCACTTCAAAAGATTTCTCGCAGATCACTGATAGGGACCCCATCTATTTCCCTCAACAGAATTAATTGTTGACCCTCCATGACCTAGTAGAGGGTTGTTCCCAATATTAGGATTATCCTCTTTAAAGTTTAACCACCCAGCCTTAGTCAAACTTTGTACCTTAATTTTTAGTGCTCTGCAATTTTCAAGGGAGTGACCAATAGCTTCCGCATGATAATCACATTTGGCATTAATGTCGTATCCCCTAGGATATGGTGGTTCTACGGGCTTCATCAGACAAGGTACTACTAGTGAATTTTGTAGTAGGAGAGGGAACAACTCAGTATAGGACATAGGGATAGGGTCAAACTCAATTGGTTTCCGATCTCGTGTATTTTGTGACCTCACATGGCTAGAATTTTGGTTCCATGGCTGGGTAGATTGAGGTGGTCGTGCGGTAGGTGTTGCGAGTGAAGCTTGTAGAGCTTGATGGATAGGTTGGTGAGGATATGGTGAGATGGCAGTGATATTTGGGTAGGCCTTGTGAGGGGTATAGAAATAAGGAGGTTGGTTGTTAGGTAACCTAGGGGAGTTGAATGTCACTGTATTTGTATCTCCTTCCTTTTTCTTTCCTACACCATTTGAAAATTTTCTTGAACTAGCTATTTCACTAGAGTCAACCACAATCTTTCCACTCCTCATGCCATTCTCAATTCTTTCCTCGATGATGACTATATTAGAGAAATTTGATGAAATATTCCCAATCATCTTATCATAGAACAATGCTTGTAAAGTATCAATGAACAGGGCTACCACTTCTCTATCAGACAAAGGAGGTTCCACTTCTTGCCACTTCTCTCCACCTTTAAGCATATTCCTTAAACGTTTCACCATCTTTTTTAGACATGTTGTGTAGTTCAAACCTATATGGAACCATGTCAAGATTATATTTATATTGTTTATGGAAAACATCAGCTAAATCCTTCCAAGAGCGGATATAGGCCCGTTCAAGATGCATATACCAATTCAAAGCTGCCCCAGTTAACGAATCCTGAAAGCAATGAATAAGAAACTTATCGTTGCGAGCATATGCTGCCATCTTTCTGCAATATATAGTTATGTGATTCTTTGGACAACTTGTTCCTTTATATTTATCAAATTCAGGTACTTTGAATTTTGGGGAAACTCTATATTTGGAACCAAACAAAGATCGACAACTTCACCGACATCATAACTACCTCTTTCCACAACCTTTAGCCTCTCTTCTAGCATTTGTAACTTCTCACTAGACTGAACATGCTCAATTCCAGAGGTTAGTTGATATCCCCCAGAAGTTTGGTGAGGGTTCCCTTGGTTGATAAAATTAGAATTTTGGAGTTGGTAGGGAACTTGATGTTTATAAGAGGTTATATTCATGGAAGAAACCTCAGGTTGGGTAGGCTGCATTTGTGTAGGTGGCTGATTCACCAATGGTTGGTGCTTATCTGGAGGATCCATGAGTGTTGGAGGTGTGTAGTTGAGCGGAAGGCCATATGGTGGCCATTGGACCTCTGGAGGATCAACTTGTTGACTAGATTTGTTAAGATGTAGGGTTAATGGTTGTGTTGGGGTTGGGGTAAAGCCAGGTGGATACGCAGGAGAAGTTGACGATTCTCCTCTAGCTACTGGAGGGGCCCCTTCTACATTTTTCACTTGTATAGACTGCAACATCTCTAGAATTTGGGCCATTTGTTCCTTCAATTGATTGATATCATTTCTCAGTTCTTCGATGCATTCTTCCATCTCATCCATGATCTTGGCCTGAGAGCGTGTTCTATAACGATGCCGAGGAAACACTTTGTTTTTTTTGCTCTATTACTTTTTGAATACAAAGTGAATTTTATGCGTATAAAAGAAAAGGAAGAAGAAACAAATTTTGGAAAAAATTAATTTTGTATTCAAATTGAAGAGCGATTCCCCACATCTCAACACTAGAGGCAAAAAAAAAAAAAAAAAAAAAATCCCCTTAGGTCATACAATGGTTGACACTTATTTCAAGGGAGCATTCACTCCTCAATGGATAAGGTCATCTTACTAGCAATCTAGCAGTATGAACCACATTTTTAAACAAGGATCAATCATCTCAAGATCAAAATGTGATTAACAATCACTCAAGGGAGAATTCTCTCCTCAATAAATGATGTCTAAACAAGTTATAAGTCAAATGTCTTATTATTTTGGCAGATCTTACCTACCCTTTGGAGATCATTTTTTTAGCACATTTATCCTGATACTCTTGCTTAACCCTAATGCATTGCTAGTATGATTTTGAATCTCCTCCATATTGAATACTATCAATTATTTTAAGGTTTAAAAGAAAAAAAGATGAGATGAAGACTTAATCAAATCAAAAGAAGAAAAAAAATGAGACAAAGACTTAATTAAAATGTGACTTACTATGCCCCTAATATGCATGTATGAATGAATTTTTATCATTTATCCTTTATTTATTAAAAAAAAATTATTTTAGGCAAGAAAAACAACCTAAAAAAATGATATTGGATATAAATGTATGATGCATGAATGTATTAACACATTTTTTTTTGTTAGTATGAATATATATAAGAAGAAGGATAGAGAGTAGTACAATGTGACCTATTACAGTAAACCTAGGGTAGGAAATTTCTAAGGTTAACACCCTACTTTGGAAGGTCATTAAGTCCACCTATTACTGCATGGGTTTGTGGGTGGATCTAAAAACTCCTCAAGATTTATTGGTCCCCAGGTTGCCCTTATCATATAAATAAGGACCTAGCGCATGAATCAATCACAAGTAGGGAACATACCCTCTCAATATGATTAACACATGCTACTAGTAACAACCTGAGTGGTAACTCAACAACGGTCAAGTGAGCATCAAACCCCTCAATAACAGTCATCAAGCCACCTTCTCTTCCTAGGCTCGCACAGGCTCGGGTATAGAGCCCAAAGTTGTGAGGTACAAGTGTTAGTGGGTGTGTGAGGTAACAAATAAACATGCAAATAAAATAAATAAAACTTTAATTTAAGCTTAAATCCAAATAAAACATGCGTAGCAACAACAAAATAAATAAATAAAACAAAAATAAAATAAAATAAAATAAAAGGAAAAAATGAATATTTATAAAGACATGATTTTGCGCAATTAATTTAATAAGGCCTGACTCTCAAATTTTCCCAGTGGAGTCGCCATCTGTCATAACCGGGATCATGACGGGATGACGCTAACATTTATTTTAATGGAGCCGCCACCGATATTTTATTTTAAGGGAAAAACATTAGAAAACCCTTTGAAAGATAATCTTTAAAATCAGAGTTGGGTTCGGGAGTCGATTACGTGTAGGGAAGGTATTAGCACCCTACAACGCCTGTAAAAAAAAAATAGTATCTTTAATTAATTGCCCAAAATTATAGAAATTTATAAATATTTAATTTACTCCTTAGAAATGTATGTGAGATGCTTCTTTTTTTTTTGTATTTTTATTAGAAAATTATAGGGATTTAGGTTAGCAAATGGTTAATCAATAAACTCTCCCAACACATGAAAGATAGAATTGTTATTCAATCAATGTTATTGATTTTTATTTGTTGATAATGAATTAGGCTTAAAGGTTAGGACAACAAATAATTATTCTATTAACTTTTATGATTTACATGATATTAAAGGGTAGAAGTGTTACTCAATTAATATCATTAATCATAAAATAACGTATGCATGAAGCAAAATTATGTTTGTATTTTTTTTATCTAAAGAAATAGATTCTACGTAAGGATTCAAGTTAGCAAATGGCTAATCAATAAATCCTTCCCAATAACATTAAAAATAAAAATGTTATTTAATTAACGTTATTGGTTGCAACATATTTTTATTCTTAAAAAAGAAATTGTACATGAGAGTTTAAGCTAGCAAATGACTAGTCATTAAACCCCCATGACCTAATATGTTAAAGATAAAAATGTTATTCAATTAACATTATTATTGGTCGTATATTAAATATTTTTATAAATAATAATCTTAAAGGCAACAAATCATATTCACTATGTACAAACAATAAAAAATAAATAAATAAATAATCAAAAAAATAATAATAATAAATAAATAAATAAAAGAAAGAGAAAAAAAAAAGTTAAGAAAAGAAACGATACCAAATGAGTTGAATCTTCGAATATGATGATCAAAAAGGTGATTTTTAGCTACCTTTCACACTACAAAGGTGTCTCACAGATCTCAAGAAATACAAAAGAGAGGGGAGAGAGAAAAAAAAATTTCGAGCTCTAAAGAGTATTGGACGAAATTTTTCTGGTCCTTGAAAACAATGCCCGAGACGTCTATTTATAGACGTCAGACCTGACCAGAACGGCCCGTTCCAAAATCGGAACGGCCCGTTCTGGATCATTAATTCCTTTACGAGCTAAATGTGAATCTGGAACGACCTGTTCTAAATTCAAAACGGCCCGTTCTAAAAGCGCAATGGCCCGTTCTGAAATTAAGAACGGTCCATTCTGAAATTCGAAACGGCTCGTTCCAGATAAGGAAATTTAGGCCTTTTAACTAACTTGAAACGGCCCGTTCCCATCTTGGAACGGCCCGTTCTCAATGAGGGTTGTTGTGCTTTTTTGTAACTAGGAACGGCCCATTCCGAATTTGGAACGGCCCGTTCTGGGCTACTTAAATTGTTTTTTTTTCCTGCAAACTTCCTTGTTGTCACCTCCATACTTTGAGAGCTCCTCCTCTTCATAGTAGATGTCCATTTCATGAGTCCAAATAAATTTTATTATTCACAATGCCAAAATAGAATGGATAGCAAAATGTTGTTGTCATGCATTTTATTTAACTCCTATTGAGTACTGTATTTTGAAGGAAAAAGCAAAATAAATATAATTATTAATTTATAAAATCAAATGAATAGATTTTTAATGATTTCATGGTTCATTATTTACAAAGGCTTATTATGCAATAGACCTTTGTGAATTGATTAAAGTATATGCTAGATGTGACACCCTTACTACCCCCAACACATATATTGTAATAATGTAAATAGACTAAGGAAATAAAATTTTCAACATAGGTAAAAGGATTCACATAAAAAACTTCATAAATATTCCTCAATATCCAAGATAATTGGAAATAAATAAATTAAAAAATGAAACATAAGAGTTTACAAATTGTTTTCGAAAGACAAGGTACAACTCCAAATCTATATAAAAATCCATGTCCTAGAAATCCTCTGCCCCGATGTCACAATATCAGAGCATACCCACAATTCAACTGTTGGCATTCTAGATGTCACTCATAGCCGGATCTTCCTCACCTAAAATATCCACAATTGCACGGTGAGAAAAGAAAATATCTATATGTAAAGCACATACACAACATATCATCTCATTATAAAATATTCATAAACATTTCAATATATCATAACTCTATCAATCATGCATCATCACCACGTCACAATTCACAATCACACCAATTTTTACAAATCTTGCAATTAACCCTATGCCAAGGTCACGCCTGTAGCATCTCTTACCCAAGGTCGTGCCACCCCCGACATAAGTATTAATTGTCTCACACATCCCACCCTATGCCAAGGTCACGCCTGTAGCATCTCTTGCCCAAGGTCGTGCCACCCCCAACATAAGCATGAGAAATCACACATCCTACACTATGCCAAGGTCACGCCTGTAGCATCTCTTGCCCAAGGTCGTGCCACCCCCGGTCATAATGTGAGGAACCACAATCACATAACAATCACAATCATCACAAAATCTTACTATGTTAAGGTCACACTACCCTTCAGCCTAGGGTCGTGCTCACCCCTGACATAACGCTATGCCAAGGTCACGCTACCTTTTTAGCAGCCTAAGGTCATGCTCACCCCTGACATAACACTGTGCCAAAGTCACGCTACCCTTTTACCAGCCTAGGGCCGTGCTCACCCCTAGTCATCAGTATGAGGATCCACAATCACATCTCATTCAAATTCCACACATCTCATTTCATAACTCAAATTCCATATTACATACAGATAAGTCCACACAATACAATGATTCACATACCCATCAAGTAATTCACCATGAATACACATCTATAACAATAATATTTATAAATTAATATAAAACCCAATTAATCACCAATTTAATAGATATAATCTTAACTCAAGTAATAAAACCCCCAATTTTCCCAAAACCTAACTCACAGGCACTTTTCTACGATTTCATCCTCTCTCCTAGATCATCTTTCTTACAAATTAAATATATATTTCTAATCCTCAACACATACAGAATCTAATGGGATCATCAATTCCTGAAACAGAAATAATCCAATTTTTCCAAAACCTAACTCACAGGTACTTTTCTACAATTCTATTCTCTGTCCCCGACCATCATTTTTACAAATTAAATATATATACATGATCCTAAATACATACAAAATCACATAACACCAATAATTATCCAAACAGAAATAATTATAAAATTACTCATAATCCTACGAGCTTCCTCTTCTACCCAATTCCCTGATGTAACTTTGCATATAAATAATCCCATTTTCCCTCGTACATGGATGAATAGTAGCTAAAACTAAAATAGAGATCTCCTTGGTCTCCTCCTCTGAGTACACCCTCGATCTTCAGAGAGTGTAGAAGGAAAAGAAGGGGGCAAAGAAGAAAAGAAGAGAAAAGTGAAAAGTGTGCTTTTGGGAGTGCCAGAGTGCTCTATTTATAGGATCAGATGTCTTTGGAACGGCCTGTTCCAAATCCAGAATGGCTCATTCT